CGTTCATAATTCTGGTCAAATTTGCAGATCATTTAGCCAGATCTATAACAAAACAATTTTAAATCTGGTAAAATGATAACTATAATTAGGAATCTATTGAAAAATCATGATTTTTTTAAATTTTAGGCAGTAATTAGATAAATAAATAATTTTGGTAGCGGTACTAACTAAATGCCATTTTGATATAAGCTTTAAATAAGTGTGCAAAATAAATAGTATTGGACGATATTTATTTTGGCCGATGTGAAGATCACGTGATGATCGACAAAAATTAGTGTTACATAACATCAATTTTAAAAATTTCGCAAGAAATGGCCCTTTGCTGAGCATCAGCAGTGACAATTATTAAACCAACATACAATTGGTTTAGATATTTGATGAAGTAACCAATTAAATAATTGATCACTATTTAGCCGCAGCTAGCCGGCTATGAACGGCTAACCGGTAATAGCCAGCCGATAGCCAGCCGTAGCCAGCCGTTTCCATCCCTAATTATTAATTTATTTATTTGATATAATTTTGCTTTTCTCCTCTCCACAATTTTGATTATTATAAATTTATATAATTTTAAAATTCAGCACTACTATATATATAATTTAAAAATTCAGTATAGTACGAGTCAACAGTATTGGTCAATTACAACAGAATTGAATTACGTATTTGCATATTAGCACTTAACCATATAAATGATACTGACTTCATCATTCCATTACGTTATAAAATATTCTATTTTTTTTTTTCTGACAAAGTTCGTGCAAAATAAATGAACAAGATAAAAAAATTTAATATCAATTATGAATGGTCAAAATCAGCAAAATCAATTAAATAATACATTAAACGATGAAAAAATATCGGTCAGAATCAATGACATTAAAAAAGCTTCATGTATTATAATTCAAGTTGTTAGCAATGTAAGAACACGCTTATGCTTGAATATGTATATCTTAAATATAACGTTCTGATATAAATTATTACACACACACACAATTACTTGTATCCAAATCTCGGATTACCTAATCATAGAATCACGCGATAACTCCATATTTATGCAAGAGAAACAAGCCTCTACAAAAACTTATGAAGGTTTACTGCGAGAAAGAAGGTAGGGAGTTTAGTAATGTAAGATTTCTTTACAATGGAGAACGATTGCAGCCAAAAATCACTCCCAAAGCTGTAAGTTTTATCTAGATTTTCACGTAATTTCGTTCGTACACAAATTAGTTTAAATAAATTTATTTTATAGTTGGAGATGGAGGATGGAGACTGTATTGATGTAATGATTGAACGTTATGGTGGATACGAAAATATTTGTTTTGCGTCCAAATAATATCGTAAAGTTTTGGTTATAAGTGTGGATTTTTGTTCACAAATCTCATCAAGCTTGGATTGATATCCTATTTAGACTAGAACATAGTGCTGATATTAATTGAAACATTAAAGTATGCTGTATATCAATCCGATATTCAAATAGTTTAAAAATCGGCTTCATTTAAATTGGTTTCAATGAAAATAAACCAGAATTAAATATAACATATATTCTCTAAATGTTAAGCTTTTAATTATTCATTCTATAATGATGATAATGGATTAATAATCGATATTAAATCCCGGCTAATGACCTGCTAAATAGTAATTTCATTTTGCCACATTTAAAAAATTGCCTTTTTTAATTGTTTACAAATCATCATGTTACCTGTCGATCTGTCGATCATCACCGTTTTTAGGATCACTGTTACGATACACCGGATGCAGTAATTTAAAAATGCGTACTAGCACACTTAACTCGCATTTTTTTTATTACATTTTTACTTAATCCCACACACCTAAGTATGTTTGAACGATGATGTGTTATGAAAGTATAACTATTCAATTATTAACTTAAATTTTTGTCTTTTTATATAGCGGTTCATTATATTCTTTTTTCCTATACGTATAACCCTTTTTGAAAATGTTAAAAAAAAGATGGCTGGACGATGCAATGAAAAATGATCACATAAGATCAATAAATTACAAAGATTTTTCTGATATCAAACCCGTAGCGCGAGGTGCATTTGGTGAGGTTTTGAAGGCATACTGGAAAAATGGTGAAAAGGTTGTTGCTTTAAAAACGCTGCTTGATAACCCCTCTCAAGGAGCTGAAGAATCATTCGACAATTTTGTTCAAGAAGTATTTATGTTTGATATTTGATTGTTTCTTTCTTCATTCTACATAAATTTGTAAACTATATCTAATTCGTTTAATTATAAAAATATAGCTCAAATTTATTAGACATTTAGATTTCTGCGATCATGTTATTCGATTTTATGGCATTAGTTATAGTGAGTTCTTTTTTCACCCTTCCATAACATTAAATATTTTTTGTTACATCTACTGAAATTTATTTTTATATAAAAAGATCAAATGTCTTCTCGATATTTCATGGTCATGCAGTTTGCTGATGGTGGAAACCTTAGAGATTTCCTTCGTGAAAATTTTAAAAAACTTGACTGGATAACTAAAATTTCAATGGGAAAACACATTGCTAGCGGCCTTAACGCTATTCATTCAGCAAATATTTTGCATAGAGATTTAGTAAGAAATTTTATTTTCGTTTTTCTATTTATAAATATATATATTTTTTTTTAATTCATTTTACCTATAGCATTCAAAAAATATAATGGTACATGATGGTAGACTTATGATTACTGATTTTGGATTATCAAAATCAAGTCTTGTTAGTTCAAATTCTGCTGTAGCAGGGATGGCTGCGTACGTGGAACCAAAATGTTTCAAAAATCCAAAATATGTACGAAACAAAGCTTCAGATATCTATAGCCTAGGAGTATTGCTCTGGGAAATATCTAGTGGTAAACCTCCTTTCAAAGATCTGAATGTGATAGAAATAGCTGGTAAAGTGGTTAAATATGAAAGAGAATCTCCAGAGCCTGATACACCATCTGAATATCAAAAACTTTATGAGAAAGCTTGGAGACATGATCCGCTAGAACGTCCGCCTCTAGCTTATATTCGTGAAAAACTTGATGACATGTTACGGGCACAGGGTGTAGATCCCTCGCAACAATTTTCTCTGGATGCACTTAAGAACGTTGTTAATCAAAAACCTGTGAATGTAATTACTCGTTTAAATGCACCAAACAACTTCGGTATGCCATCACTAAACAAAAACATGGCTGGAATGTCTATAAATGATCAAAATCGTTTGGGCATGAATAACAACAATAATGCATATAGACCACCTGAACGACCGGGGCCAGGAGGTGCAACAAATTTAAATCATTTAAATCATTTTGATCAGAGGAACAATCAACTCAATCCCCAAATACCACAGCCTGGTCAGAATATTGTTGGTCAACATCCAACGCCAGTTAATAATCCTGTTAATAATCCTGTTAATAATCCGAACTTTATCGGTCAAATGCCAACTAATCATCCTCCAAACTTTCCCAGACCAAACCCAATTGCACCTACTAATCATCCTCATAAATTTGCAGGTCAAAATCCAATTCCAATTAATGTGGTTCCGAGCTTTGGCAATCAAAATACAATGCCAGTTCCAATGCCACTTCCTAATCCACTTCCTAATCCTGCTCCGAAATTTGCAGGCCAAAATCCAATGTCAGTCAATAATGTGGCTCCGAACTTTGGCAATCAAAATACAATGCCAGTTACTGTTACAAATAATTTGCAGAATGCTCCTGGACAACACCAAGCATCTAATTTTACTCAACCACCGCAACAACCCGTTGTTAATAACTTTAATAACTTGGTTCAACCACGAAGTATTCCACAGACAAATCAAAATCCCATTAATCATACTGCTCCGGTTCCACATACAGGAAATCAACAATTCCCTTATGCAAGACCGCCTTTTCAAAACGGAGGTCACAATACAT